TCAGAAGGCATATCAATATTGTGAATCTGTTCTGTAAGTGAATGAATGTTTTATACCTATACACACAAATACATTTGATTTCCCTTTCTATCCCTCTTTCTTTCTTTTTAGATTTTATTTTTTTCTAAATTATATACATATAAATTCCATGTTTGTTGTGAACTCCTGGGACTCTTGAGTAGATTATGTCAGCATACGGAAATGTGTAGGATCTCCGACCTCCATGTATTCCGCTGTGCCCTCCAAGACCCTGCTGTTCCGCCAGGCTGGGCTATCAATGTAATGATTTTAAATTGGGTGTTTTAAATTTGGGGTTTTAAATCTGAGCCGAAATTATTTAATAATTTTAATTATTTTTAAATTGATGTCTGTCTTTGTGCTTTTAATAGACTGTACACTGCCCTGAGTCCTTCGGGAGAAGGACGGTATAGAAATAAAATTATTATTATATTATTATTATTATTATTATTATTATTATTATTATTATTATTATTATTATACAGTTTTACTTAGCTAAATACTTGTTTGTGAATTTAGGAGAGGGGTGGAATGTAAATGGAGGCTAAGGGAAGGAAAAGATAGATTTTGCATGGATAAAATAATGTAGTATAATATAAAATTATCCCTTCCCATCAGTTTTTAGTACAGGTACAAAAGACAGACCCAGTTCAATCAAAGTCATCTAAGAAACCTCTAAATATGACATAAGAGTAATGGCTTTCACTCTCTCATATAACTAATAATATTAAGCATACTCACCAGTTAATATTGAAGATACACTATTTGCAAATTAGGAAATAATCACCACAAAAAGTAGCCATTTAATAACCCATCGTCCATAATTTATTTAGTCCACTTTTAAACCACTGAAATTGCTTTGCCATCTTCATATATGGGAGAATTTAGTTCCATCTATTAAGCTTTCTGGAAAAAGTACAGATAGTCTTTGACTTACCCCCACAATTAAGCCCCAAATTTTACTTGCTAAGCGAGACATTTGTTAAGTGAGTTTTGCTCCATTTTATGATCTTTCTTGCCACAGTTGTTAAGTAAATCACTGGGATTCTTAAGTTAGTAACAGGGATTTTAAATCAATCTGGCTTCCCCATTGACTCTGCCTGTCAGAAGATCACAAAAGGTAATCACATGGCCCTTGGACACTGCAACCGTCATAAATATGAGTCAGTTGCCAAATGTCTGAATGCGACCATGGGGATGGTGCAATGCACTGAAGTGTGAAAACTGGTCATATAAGTCACTTTTTCATTGCTGTTGTAACTTTTAACAGTCATTAAATGAACTGTTGTAAATTGAGGGCTGTATTTTCCTTTCATTGTTGAAACATCAGCATTTAGTTTCAATATATTTAAATTATGACATTGTGGAAGAGAAGAAAACCTTCTCCCCATCTCCCCTTATATCTGTTTTATAATAAACAACTCCAAGCTATAATTTTTCTTTGTAGGGTAATCTATGAACAAAAAAGCTGCAGTTTTATCAGGGCATCTTTTTCCTAATGGTTCTTAGCATAGAATTTGCCTCTTTTACAGCGGGTGACCTGTCCACTTTAAGCTTCCTTTCCAAGGTCAGTCACTGCCAGCTCAAACTTCATTAACCTTTATGGTGCGTGTGCCAATATGCATCACTTTGTTCTTGTTGACACTGAATGCCATTTGTTATTTTAAAGGAGGAGTATCTGACAATTTTTCCTGTCTGATCTTGGAGGACATGTTTCCTTAAATTCCATACAGTTGGTTGTCAACTTGCAACCATTAGTTCAGCCACTATTTAAAGTTACAATGGCAATGGAAAAAGTGACTCACAATTGGTCCTCGCAGTTACAACCACCACAGCATCCCCATGGTCACATGATTAAAATTCAGGTGCTTTGCAACCAGCATACATTTGCAATGGGGAAAGGCATATTCACTTAATGACTGTGTGTTTCACTTAATTGCATTGATTTGCTTAACAAATATGGCAAAAAAAGTTGTAAAATCAGGTATAACTCACTTAATTCTGGTCCTAATTGTGGTCGTAAGTTGAGGACTACCTGTACTCTAGGGACAGTCTCTTGGACAGTAGGATCATAGCCATAGAGACTTAAATTCCACAAAAGTAAAATAATGCTATCACACAGATGTCTCTTAAAAAGAGAAAAGTGGGACAAACCTAGGCAAGAATCAGCACAATGTCTCCCTAGGAGCAATCAAAATGATCCTCTGTCATGTCCCAACCAAAAATTCATTAAAAACTGATGGGATATTCAAGCAAGTGCATGTTTTACAAGAAATTGTCCTACAAGTAGGTTGACTGTCATATAGAAATTATTTTCAAATGATGCTTTGATATCCGATGCTTTTCAAACTGATGAGTACAGAAACTGAAAGGCAGAATCATGTTTTGAACACAATTAAACTATCTCATTGTTCAGCAGAACTATATTACAGATAGGCAGCCAGATTAACCTTTAATTGAATTTGGTGATTTCATATAATTCAGCCAATCAGTATTTTGGACAAGAGATATCATGAGAAACTTTTGTATCTCACATCCCATATTGCAGAAATATAATCCCTAGGAACTGAAGTGCACAACTAATTGTGAAAGCACATGGAAACTAGTTTAGTAATCATTGGTAGACCATCGCCTCTCCACGCTTGCATTAAAGATGTCACTTTGATAAAAGAGCTTCTTGTCAGAAGACTAGAGTTGAATGTGGCTCCAGATTTTCATAGTTGGTAGGCCTTCTGAAATTTCAAAATCTATTCATAGCAGAGTCAAATGTAATATATCTAATATTCTTTATCTCAGCCAAATAATTTGCTACCTCTTTACTCTGGGTAAAAGCTGGAAACAAATTTGTTCTGCATTCATGACCTTTAATAAGTTTAACTTGTTCCAGACAGTCAGGCTGTCATGTCAGATTATGATGCATTATGCCTAGAAAATATATTACTATTCTTTATAAACAAGATCCCAACGAAGATTGTTGTCTTACCTTGGCTTTAAATTTTGTCTTAAGACAATGTTCAGGTAGTTGACACTACAAATGTCACGTGATAGAATAGCCAAACAAGTATGATAAAACTGAGTTATTTGTACACAGTGGAAGGGCCTCTGTTATCAATAGGCAGCCTAGGAAATCTAAACTACTGAGCATTTCAGGCTAAGAAATAGTTATTGTAAAAGTTATGGTGGTGGACCAATAATATTACCTCCCCTTAGAAGTATCAAATTAACAAATAAACATTTCTATTTCTTTGAAAAGTCTCTCCCCGTCTTTCTTTTCCTCAGTTTTCTTATAGCTGGGATAAGGAATGGTAATCCTACAAAATGGTGGTACAATATAATCCTTATCAGATCTACCCTGCACAGTACTCAGCTCATCAATACCTGCAGACTTTAGAATACTTTTTATAATTGAGCAGCAAAGAAATTGAAGTAATAAATATATAAAGAAAGGAACATGGACTTCTGAAATTTAAATTCAGGTGCTTTAACAGCATTGCTTTCAGCCTTAGAGAAAAAAATGAACTTAAAAATGGGAATATTTCACACACTTCATTTGCAAATAAAATTGTTATATATAAAAGTAATTTAACAACAGATTAAACCAAAAGCCTATTCATAGAACACATTTAAAAGGGTTCATCCCCCCCAAATGTTTTTAACTAAGCTGTTCAAACATGCTTGAACTAATTCTTAATTATTGCTCCAAGGTTTTCAAAACCTTGAGTCTTTGAAAATTCATTGAACAAGCTTAGAAACAACCAGGCATTCCTATTTCCCCCATCACCACCCAGGTATACTAATCCAAGGAAGGCTGTGAAAATCAGTAGAATACCAAGAACTATATTAGCAAGCAAAGGCCTATTTTTGAAACAGAAAGTAAACATTCCTTAAGATTTCTAAATGTCATTAGATTACTCAGTATTGCTTTGGAGTTTTCTGTACAGTAACCTTCTACCCAGTCTTAACCTATTGAAGGACTTGTGAAAACAGAAACTTCCTGTCATCACACTGGCTGCACACCAGAACTCAATTTAGCCAGCAGTGTCACAAGTCACAATGAATGGTCAGTCTTCTTTGTGAGGTTACTATAACATGGGGTAATGGCGAAATCTTCAAAACTCATGGATAGATAAATCACAATTAATGCAAAATCCTAATCTTCTAATCAAATTTTCCCCATTGTTGGGGAAGAAGAGACTTCAACTTCTCTATATCAGCAGTTTGCATAACTGTATATTGTATATTTTCCTGTTTCCTCATTATCTCTATAGGATATGGAATTTTTATATAGTGGCACATATAGTGATTTTTTTTTTTTAGAATAACAACACTCAATTCCTATTCAGCCAGATTTTGGGGCACCACTCCCACTATTCCTATGGAACTCTGGGAATTGTATGCCAAAAACAGCAAACAATACAAAATCCACCCATCCTTCCAACCATACATATTTATTGGCTCCCTAAGAAGGTAATGGCTGTCAAGGTACCCTAAATTGCATCACGTGGTTCATCCCAATTCCCAGAGCTTTTCCTGCTTGGTGGAACCAAATCAATCAAGAAGCCACCAAGTACCCCCCAGTTTTCCACCAAAACCAGGCACAGATGGCAGAGTATTTGAAGGCTCTGTTAATTTCTTTTCCTTTAAGTTCCCACCTTCTACTGCTCTTTCCCAACTACTTACCCTTTCTTCCTATTAAAGCTCCAGAAGTGAGTTGAAAGACACTGTCAATCAACGTTATCTCTATTTTATACAACGGAAGCCGTTGATTGGAAAGTAATAGTTTGGGATGAAAGCATCCTTTTCATGCATCAGAAATGTTCTCTAATCGGGGGAGGGGGGGCACTCTGCACATGTTTAGAGGCAAGATCTCTTAGGAGAAGTTGAGATTTGACAGCCTCAAAAAGTTCAGTTCTATTCTTGGCGGCCCCGTCCCGTCCCACCTCTCCCGTATTCCTTCCACTACCATCTCATCTTTAGCCTACCTTCGACCTCCCCAGAATCACTTAGCCACTACTGGAGCCGTTCGACTCTCGACGTCTTGTTCCCACTGCTTCCCGTCGTGAGCTTGGTCCTGCCCCCCTCACCCGCAGCATCAATGCTACCCTCCGTTAGCGAGCCAATCGCTTGCCGTTCCAGCGGACCTTTCGCCGGAGGCGCACGAGGCAGCCAATCAGAATGCCCCGCTACTTTTATTATTCATCGGGCTGTTCCGGGCTCTACTTCCTCCTCCCGCCGCTTTGCTGGAAACCCAGCTGAGTTCCGGGCAGTGTGTGACGTAGACGCCTCCGCTGTTGACTTGTTTAAAGAAGGGGGAGGAGAGGAAGGAGGATTAAATTGCTCCGAGGTTTTTAATGGGTGTGCGTGAAGATCTTAGGGGCGGGGCCGGGCGGGGCCGGATAGGAGGTTGCATCTCCATCTTTCTCCAGGTGGGGGCGCAGCGTCCGCCGCCCGCGGCTCAGCGGAAGGAGACTGATCCGTGGGGATGCAGTGAGCGAGTTCGGCGAAAGCGTGCAAAAGGGAGCAAAACAAAAAGCGTTGCTGATTTAGGCCTACTCACAGTGGAAACGTTGCACAAAGGAGCCTGACCCAGAGCTCGTCTTCCTTCTTCGGTTGCAGGAACGGGGCATGCATAAGTGCACCATCGTGCCTATAGTCCCTGTCCTAATATTCCTTTTTACTCTTACTCTTTTCACGTATGTTTATACTTTTACCTGTTATCTTATATACGTTTGACAAATAAATAAACAAAATAAATAAATGGATAGTCTAATGAAGAGAAGGACCAGGGGAGACATGATAGCAGTGTTCCAATATTTGAAGGAAAGATCCCACAGAGAGGATGGGATCAACCTATTTTCGAAAGCACCTGAAGGCCAGACACGGAATAATGGCTGGAAACTGATCAAGGGCAGATTCAACCTAGAAATAAGGAGAAATTTTCTGGCAGTAGGAACAATCAACCAATGGAACAGCTTGTTTTCAGCAATTATGGGAGTTCCATCACTGGAAGCTTTCAAGAAGAGACTGGAGCAGCCCATCTGTCAGAAATGGTGTAGGGTTTCCTGATTCAGCAGGGGGTTGGACTAGATGACCTACAAGGTCCCTTACAACTTTGCTATTCTATTCTGTTCTATTCTATCCTATCCTATCCTATCCTATCCTATCCTATCCTATCCTATCCTATCCTATCCTGCCTTGGACGATTTATCTGTTTTTTTGCCCTTCAGCTGCTGTGGGGAGGTTGAACACCCTCCTGCCTGTTTTTCTCTCTCTCCCTCCCCCCCCTTTATTTTCTGAGGGAAAATGAAGGGAAATGACACATTTTTGATGGTTAGGAGGATTTTAGTAATTTTTATTAAAGATTATAATTACAGTAGTAAAATTTACTACAAACTAAAAGAAAAATTGTAAAAGATGCAAAGGGAAATAAAAAGGTAAGACATAAAGAATAAAAGGAAAGGGAAAATATGAATATAGTGAAGGAAAAGAAATACAGATAGTCCTTGGTTTATGACCACAACTGAGCCCAAAATTTCTGTTACTAAGCAAGGCAGTTGCTGAGTGAGTTTTGACCCCCCCCCTTTTTTTTTTGGTTTAAAACATAAGGATTACTTTATTGATAATGTACAGCATCTTTTAGGTGGTTGCCACAGCAGCTGCCTGAGTTCTTTACAAAGACACTCTGGTGATGTGTGTCTTCGCCAGATGATCAGTGAACTGATAAGGAGATTTAGTGAAGACAGTTTCTTTCCAGAGATCAGGGGTCAGATAACTGTAGGTCTTGGAGATATCATCAAAGGTGGCTTTAGCAAAACTGCCCAAGGTAGCAGTGCAGCCCCTGGCCGAGGTGTAGCAGTCATCGATTCCTGCCATCATCAGTAGCTTCTTGGGAATGGGGGCAGACACAATCCCTGTGCCACATGGGGCAGGAATGAGGCGAACCAGGATGGAGCCACACCGGCCTGTCACCTTGCACGGCACAGTGTGAGGCTTGCCAGTCTTGTTTCCCCAATAGCCTCGCCTCAATGGAGAGTTTCACCAGGATGATGGCCCCACGAATGGCCGTGGCAACTTCTTTAGAGCACTTGACCCCGAAACCAACATGATCATTGTAATCCCCAATTGCAACAAAGGCCTTGAACCTGGTGCGCTGGCCTGCCCGTGTTTGCTTCTGCACTGGCATGATTTTCAAAACCTCATCCTTCAGCGAGGAACCCAGGAAGAAGTCAATGATTTCAGACTCCTTGATAGGAAGAGAGAAAAGGTACATCTCTTCCAGAGATTTGATCTTCATGTCCTTTACCAGTCGGCCTAGTTTGGTCACAGGCATCCATTCTTTGTCCTCAGCTTTGCCTCGAGCTCCGCGACCACGGCCCCGATCACGGCCCTGACCTATTCCATGGCCCCGGCCTCCACTGCCGAAGCCACCTCGGAAGCTTCCTCTGGCGGCGGCAGCAGCTCCTCCTGCTCCTGCCCCTCCCGCAGCACCGGCGTCATCTGCCATTTGGTGCGATAGAATAGAAGGAGTTTTGCCCCATTTTATTACCTTTTTCACCAGTTCATCATTGCAGTTATTAAGTGAATACAGCTTCTTCCACTGACTACTTGTCAGAAGCTGGTTGGGAAGGTTACAGATAGTGATCACATGACCCTGGGACAGTACAAATGTCATGAATCCATGCCAGTTAAGCTCTTGTATTTTTATCATGTTGCCATGCAGATGTTACAACAGTTGTAAGTGTGAAAATGGTTGTAACTTGTCACTTTTTTCAGTGCTGTTTGAAAGTTCACTAAATGAATGGTTGTAAACCAAGCACTACCTGTATATAAAGAAGTGACTCCCTACTTCAATTGCAATGATTTGCAATTTTAGTAACTTTTCATCTCTTAAATTATAACAAATTATCTCCTCCTGCATCCCATTTGTTATTTATAAACAAATAATCATCTTCATTTCAGTCTTGGTGTTTGCAGAAGTCCATTAAAGGTTATCAGAAATAATAACTATTTTCACCTTGATCAAATAAACCAACTTTATATTCCTTCATTTTACTTCTAAAGGAATTCTAGAACTTGATTTTTTTTTCATTTATTCTTTGTCCCTTCTTATGAGATTCTTCAAAACTTTAACAAGACTGTTCCAATATGGAAAATAATTCAGGTCACTCTTTAATTATTAACATAGCCAGTTTCTTTGTATGTCCCATGTAACACCTTTTTCATGTCATTCTTACAGACTATCATTTGTAAATCCATGTTCAATTCAGTGTCTGTCATGTCAGGTAAAACTTGTTCTTCTCTCATAAGGACATAGTCTGACATGAAGTCAGATATTACTGTTAACATTATTAATATTAATTTCTGACCATTTTTTGAAAATATTTTTCAATAATTCCAGTGTGAGAACAGTTTCTTCCATTAGTTGAGTTTATTCTCCTTTAACAGAAATCTTAAGATTCTTCTAGTATCCCAATTTTTTAATTTATTTTTTTAAATTCAAAACAAAAATATTTTCCCATGAGAAGGATTTTTATAATTAATACTATTTCAAATATATCAGGGCACTTAGTCCATTTGTAGTTTTTTAAAACCAAAGTTTTAATCAACCTTTTTCTGATTATTTAAAGAAAAATGTTTATTTTTAAGCTTGTAGCTAAATTTGTCTTTTATTGGTTGAAGACAGCCTCCCTAGAAGTTTTTAGATTTGTCACTTCAAAGGCTTTTAATAGCTAAAAATAAGTTCTTTTAATTATAAAAGAAAGTACATGAATTTAGTGCCCTTTTAAAGGTACCAAACACAATTTGAGCAAGATGGCTATTCCCTTGCCTCCTAGTGTTCAAAAACCACTGTCTTGCAGTCCCCTTATGAAAAGAAATTGTCGAAGGCTTGTAGATGGTCTCTGATCTTCTTCTTTATCTGGAGAGGTTTGGAGAGCAGTTTACTTGCCAAATTTTCATTCTTTGCATGGTTGCAGCTGTCTTCAGTCCATGATTTTTTTTTCCTCCAGAAGCCCATGGTTGGGAGGATTTAAAGAAAATGGCATAATAGTCTCCCTCTCCTGTATTATAAGCAGAGTTGACAGCAAAGGTTTCATATGAGTAACTAAGCCCTTTTAGTTTCAGTATGCTATGGGAACTACGAATCTGGCAGATTTAGTCAAAGCAATTATCTTGATTAACTGTATTATGCAAACTCAGAAACCCTGTTTTGAAGTTCATAGTTTTGTACTTTCATTCCTCCAAGTAAGCAGGATGAAAATGCACTATGAAACTCAATGTAAAAATCTAAGTCACAAAACAAAGCTCCCAAATGTTGATTTCCTGCAGTACCAAACTTTGCCTCCCTAGTCAGTGGAAAATTGGCTTTTGATATAATGGAAGAACTATATCTCCTCAAATAGTTACTATGGAACTGATAAGATTCAACCAGAAAAAGCTGCAATTGGTTCAGTGGGTGTCTGGAATGAGCTGTGCAGCACTTTCATCTTCAAAGATGTGACGAAATGGGGTTGAGGGGTACCCCGGACCGTGAACCAGCTCATGAGTAAACACACTGAGACTGAAATGATTCTGACAGAGGCGTCTTGTGTAAAAATATAATTTACTTTAAAACATTTAAAAAGCACTATGTCTTTAAGAAAACACATTAAAAACAAAGTCTTATCTGGGTATGTGAAACAAGGCTATCTCCCTAGATCCCTCTCCACAATACCAAAACAGTTCACGAAAGAATAAAGCTAGCATGAAGGTAAGCAGCTTCGGCGTCGATACATCATCAAGGCAATCATAATGGGAGCAGCACGAGCTTCACAGCTGAAAGTCACCTGAAGTAAAAACAGTTCAAAAAAGCAAACATTGCTTGAAGCTTGTGGGAGGAAGAAGGTCCAGCAACAGCAGTCCCGATGATAGCTTGCGTGCTACAAAACAGCAAAAGGCAAGCATCCGTGGGAGTCTCTCTGTAGCGGCGTCTGGAGTCCTTATCTGCATTCTTCTCCCATCTGCGGCGTTGCAACAAGCTTCCTGCAGGAGCTGTGCATTTAGGCCTAGATCAGACTAGGCCCAAGTAGCAAGCAAAAGGTCCTTGCTTATATAG